TGGTGTTCGCTCACTCTAGTTTGCATCGGCTTGCATAGAAATCACCTGATCTGTGCCGTTTTAATGTGAATGATGGCAAATTATCTTATGCTTATCTGACGGAAGATTGAGTAATAAGATCACAATCATTTCTTGTCGCTATTATTTGTTGATACAGCTGCTTCTCCCAGGCGATGAAAAGGTTTGTCACACCGAAGGTCGATCTGAAGCCACTTGAGGGTATCTGAACCAAGCATTATATTTCCTATGTTAGTTAAGCTCTCTAGATAGGGAGCATCTCCTAATACATTAAGATACATTTTACTGAACCAATAATCTGGACGGTCCTAATTGCCTTCAAGATTCCTTAATATGATGCACTTCTTTTTTAATCTCCACCGATGTTTTAATCACTCTAGTTCTTTAAGGGAGATTGAATTAGCAGCACCTGACTCTTCATTCAATGAAATAATGCAATTTTAAGCATTAGCGACGTCTGTCTCATGTTGATACATTGATGCAAGGTTTTCATGCGTATTTAACTCTCAATTCAAGTACCACCCGAACGTGTGGATAAAAAACACTTTTTTGAATGAAGACTCAGGTCATTACCTGTAAATCGTGGCCTTACAAGATTTTCTTATATAAGGGATAGCTGAGCGTTTTGAGTTAGATGTCAAGTAGTGTCATGAAGCATTGCTTGAAGGTTGGCTCCCCGTAAGAAACGATGTTCATCTGCACCCGATTTTAACCGATACGTAGACCTGCTCAACTTCTATAGGCAAACACGGTATTGCTAAAGCATTACGCGAACATATAGAGCGCAAAAAGATCTCTGAATGTTCTCCGGATTAAAGCATTTTAACAAGGTATAACATTTAGTTCTACGCAGGAATAATACTTATTATCACATAGGGTCCATATCATTTTGAGAATTGTTGTATGTTTGGCCAGGCATTAACGACGCCTATTGGCCGCATCAGACCAATTTATTAAAAGGATAACCATAGTAGATATGTATCAAAAAGCAAAGTTATAAAGATTGTAAATGTAACAAAGCAATTGCTCTGCTTAGCTGATCTTGCTATAGCTAGACAGCCAGATCTTCATCATCAGAAACAAAAAAAAAAGATCGCTTTTTCTAGCGAGAACTTTTCAACAAAAAGTTTACAGCCATTTTGATTCCGCTAAATTCTTTATAAAATCGCTTTAGTGATCATTTGGAATGTATGCGAATACAACATTAGCATTCGCAGATTAAAAATAACTTTTCGAAGCTTGGGGACATTTGCTTGTTTATAACGGTGCTTCCTTCAGACCTTTGGCGTCTATAAAATGACCCCAGGATAGATCTCAGACAGAGATCACAAATCAGCATTTAATCAGAAGCATGCAGCGTCTGCAGCATGTATTTATTCCTGTTGCTCCTGAGACCGACTGAAATCTTCTTGAGTTCGATGAGAAAAGTGGCGGATGAACCTTGGCCGCACGAATAACGTAAACCCTACAACCAGAGGGGTGAACTGACGAGCTTTGATAGTGAGGGGGTTACGTGTCAAGCCCAGATTGTACCGCTTGCACAAGCTAACTCTACGGCCAGTCAAGATGACAAAGCCGGTAGGGAAAAACGACACAAGTAATTGTGCAGCGAGTTGGAGCTGGGTTGGCAAGTGTTGGATGTAATGCCGTTGCCACCGGCGTGAAATTAATTTAAACTGCTTCAGACACTGGCGCATTAGACATTACTTACGTCGCCGTCCCAATAATAAAGTACACATAGCGTCCCTCTGTGCTCATGAAGTTTAAATGCCTGTTAAAGACGAGTAACTACAAGTTAATGAGATTTAAATTCTGCCGTTCGTGTTGTAATGTACTGATGTTGTTCGACACCAATGTCAGAATATGATGAATCAATGTGAGTGGGTGTATTTCTTTTATACATATGAACAAAACCGTTAGCGGGTTTCCTGTAGTAAAAAAGCACGGCTAGCTCTCAAAACAGTCTCAATTCTGAAACTTACCTGCTCTTTTTATGTCAAAGCAATACCTACTGTGCCGACGGTGAGCGTCCTGGCATTTCTTGTACGCCACCTGCGATTAGTTACAACGTGCTCTATCAAAAGCTAACCAGTGCGATCAGCAGCAAATCTATTACTCGTTGTGTTATTCGCGTAATACAGTAAATTTATCACCCTTATTAGAAACGCTTTGAAAGCTTTTTAATTAATTTTTTAAATCTCTTACTATATGCTCTGCATTTACATTGGCATCGGAGTTTATTATTAGTGTAGTTTCGCGCATTGGGCTAGCAGTCATACAATGGAGGTATTGTGAAAAGAGTAGAAGGAGGTCAACGTGCACGAAACAACTACGTTCCATACTAACTATGTAAAAGGCACTTGAATAACGCGCGCGTATATGAGGCTGACCTCCTTATCTATCCAAGTCAAATTATAGTAGTTTGGCTTCACTTGCTTAAGCGACAAAGGCATGCATGCCATATACACTACCCTTCAAATAATAGCAGTTTTCTTTAGCGTCTTAATCCCCTAAGTTCCTGTAGTAGCTCATAGATTGTAAACTGTTGGTGTTTACCACGGCAAGACAGAACTCATGAAACTCACACTCTACCCACCAACTTCCACAAGGAAACCATAAGTCGGAATTCGACATGGAACCAAGTTGAAACGAACTTAAGACCAATTATTACGGAAAGAGCCACGTATGGCGAAAGATAATGCTTCTTTAAGTATTTTTTACGGACTTATATCAACAGAGGATATCTCCTTACAACTTATGGTTATAAGTACTATGAACATGGTATCAAGATTGGACGGTAGGCTCCTCATCCTTTATATAGTCTCTGTCATAAAGTTAACTTCGAGCTTTTTCCTTATCGCAGCAATATTACCTTTCGCAGAACATTTGCAGCTAGCTTGGCTATCAAAACAGGTAGTTCCTTAAGGAGGTTCCTATTCGCGACAAACAGTGCATTGCCCACAGGCGCTTTTCTGGCCGTAGTTCGCTCTCCTACTCTAAAAAGCTTATTCACTAGTGACGTTCGCAATATTTTCCTCAACGTCTAATACAATCTCGTATTCTGTTCTTTTGAATCCAGTGTAGTTCGCAAAAAGGTTTTCCGTTTTTTTTTCTATCACGTTTGGTTTGCGTATTTAGACTTTCTTGTGTAAGAGGTTAATCTCGCTTACAGGACTTCACTCCTTTGTACCTCATAATTTTTGTTACGTATTCGGATACTATTGTCTACATCCTTTTATAAGTGATTCATTAAGCTATTAAATATGGCGTTGCTCCTAAAAGCGTGCCGTAATATTTTTCAGCATTTGCCCTTTTTTTCCTGAAGCATATATCGTACAGTCGCGTGTGACTTGCATCGTCCCACACATCAGCGACGTATATGATGCTTGGGTCCCTTGGCGCCTTATGGATCTTACCATTGCATCGTTCTTCCAAAGCCCTGCATCGTTTTTTTGTCTGATTTTCTTGGCAACGACTCTCGTTAAGCTTGCCCACTCCAGTCGTTACTTGTCGAGGGTTTATCTTCTAGCGTTATCTCGCGTACGCATCTTATTCTAAAACATTTCCTCTCCGTCGAACATGAGGTCCAAATCATCGTGAAGTGATTTGGAATGTTTTACTTATAAATAAGCGACCACTCACCGTACTCCTTATAAGAGACCCTTTTCTTTATTTGATTTTATAGCTTTTGCTTGATCGAGGTCCGCTAAAGAGCTATGGAATTCACCAGTGGGACAAGTAGCTCCGTATTTCTTTTACCTGGTCTCGTAGCTTTCGGCATTAACCTACTGAGACTAGACGGACTGTCTTTTTAAATTAATACTAATGTTCTACACCTCCTTGTTGTTCAGTACTGCAGCATCTGTCTGTTTAGGCGTTAACTCTGATTAGTATTTACATTACTTAAAGCCCAAAAGAAACAAGGGAAACATCTTGTTTTACAGTTCTCTTCCACTGCTAGTAGTGGTCGCCAAATTTTAGGTTGCTTGCATAAGCTAACGTGCTTACTTTATTCAGAATAGACAGTCTGAGCACTTTGTCGTAGCCAAAGCTTTACGGGATTGGTCCTTAAACGAAACTGTGTGGCATTCCACGCAAGACGCCGCTCGAAGTAAAATAATTTGCTCAGATTTCTTAATGATGTAGATAGCTAGTGATAGCGTGTCGGAAATATAGTGGCAATCCATTCGCCTGTAGAGCGTGTAAAATCAAGTTTCATTTAATTTAGTTGAAGGCGGTTTGAGACATCCAGCAGGGCAGCCAACACACACCCTGTGGTCTCTGCCGCTTTTTACCCTTTTTTTCCAAAGAGAATCTGTGAGGACCAGTTTCATTGTTGAGAGAAGTCTTCAAACACTTCTGAAACAAGCACTTCTTTTTTTCATTTCGTTAGTCAGCCTCTTTATAGAATAGGCTTCAAGTGCTTCATTTACTGGATTAAGGTGGTAGAGCGGCCCGCATGACTGTCCAGCAGGCTTGACAAGATCAGGCGTTCCTTCGCACACGTTCCCTTCCGCGTGATCCCCTGAAAATGTTTGTTGTTCAATAATTTAATTGGTCTTTGGGTAGTTGGTTAGTAATTATTTCAATTTCAGGTAGTATTTCATGGAGCCTTCATAGCCTTGCAAGCGGCCGCCATTATTCTCGTTACCGAGCGTTTGGCAGTATTTATTCCTTAGCACCTTCTTGACGCTCCAGTTCAGATCTATATCGGCTACATGTTCGGTGCAAGTTTAATTTTCATACACTACCTCTCAATTTCATAAATGAAGTTTTTGCAATTTACATCTCATCCGCGTATACGATCCCCTAGCTCCTTTCATCGTTTTATCCATGTTAAGGTAACAGTAGTATATTAATGTTAAGTGGCTTAAGGCACGCATGTGCGAGTAAGGGATGAACAAATACTGGAATCATCAATAATTATACTAATCATGAAGTTATAATAACAACACACTAGTAAAAATGTATACGCCTTACAGATGAAAGATGTGGACAGTTTGAACCTTCTATAAATTCACGTATTGTCGGCGGACGGGAGGCTGGTTGGCGTGAGTTTCCATGGCAGGTATGGCTTTTTTTTTGTTTTTTCCACCTTCGAATCAAGCTTGGTCAGTAACCCGGAAAGGTTAGCAGTCCAACGTTTACGAATCTATTTGGATTGTAATCTATTGGCAAGGGTTTACAATCAAAAACACTTCTGTAGCAAACAATGACTTTGATATTACAATTTATTCTGTATAACGTATATTTCAAGTTTTGTGTATGATTAATATTGGACACAACTAGTGTTACCATCTCTACCCGTCCACCAATCCGGTTGCTAATAATCCTCAATTTTTACTTGTTCTTAGTTGTTCAAAGAGACCTAATTGACAGTTTAGGATTCTCTTGTCTATCGGGTACTGTTTCATAAAGCAATGCATGTTTGCTATTGGTTGGACTCGGAAAATAGTAACAAATATTTACGTCATAACAGGTCTCAATAAGCAAATACGGACACCACTTCTGCGGAGGTTCAATTCTTAACGAAAATTGGATAGCTACAGCAGCACATTGCTTCTACGAGGCTCGGACTGAAATGCACGCGTTTGAAGCTATAGGAGGAATGCACTATTTACACATAGAAAATCACTATTGGCAGAGGCGAAAGGTAAAAATACGAACCTCTAAATCCATTGCTGCCGTAAAATCATTTGGATACATTCGAAAATGCTTTAAAACAGTTTAAAAAAAAAGCACTTTCTAATTGTTTCCTTGTATGTTTTATTGTTAAACATTGCTATCATAGCTCTACTTGAACTACAACGCCCACACAAATGACGCAACGAGCATAGCAGTAAGCTATTTCGTATCCCGCTACATTTAAAATTCTACGCCTGAAGATGACAATATATTTTTCTTATGTATGTTTTGCTTTTTTCATAACTATTCTGAGATAAGTCCGGCTGCACAATTATATCTTAATATACAGGCAACGGTTCTAATAAATAATGCAATATGGTTATCTACCTTGATTCAAAGCACACTTTAGTTGCATAAATTCCAACGATTTTTCGACTGATGACTGATCAATTTTGATTGATGAAATGAAAATTTTTCTAATAATTAATTAAATTAATGAATGAAGCGTTTGAAATATTCAAATTCTTCTGGGACTACATCAGCATCCCTCATCATAATTAAAGTCTACATATCTTGAAAACACGTATCAGCGACGTTTTGACGTTCCATTCTTCAAACATACCTAAGTACTTTAAAAAGGGACGTAACCAACATAGTAAGCCAGTAGAATCTTTTTGTGATCTTAGTATAATTGTTTTGCGAATTGTAGATTTCTCCATTAAAATTGCGATAATTGCTAAGTCTATAATGCTATTTTTCTGTGTCTCGTACTCAAAATATCCGCTTTTAATTTTCACAGTTTTGAAGACTTACCTACACCAAAATTTATGCAAGATTAGTGCATTCAATAGAAGGCACTGAAAGAGTCCGAACTCCGGAAACTTGTATCATGAAAAATTTGTTCCGAGTTAGTATTTCTTTAAATACAATTCGTGAACTGCGCAAACAAGCAGACATCGAGATGCACAAGTTGTGAAAACCAAGGATCGGATCTAACGTATGAAAATCAAATTACTATATTTATGTTATTAATGATCACATATATGATACCAAATTATTGTCTTGTCACATTACCACGTTATGGTAATGTTGTGATGTGCTACGGATGAACAGTTATTTATTTTTATTTTTTTTATATTTTATATTTATATATCGCACGATGGTGCAATAGTAACGTGATTGAACTAAAAAAAAAACACAGAAGCGATGTAGCTTCAAACTTCAAACAAATAGCTTTCCTTTAGTAAAAATTCATAGGAAAGTTAATATCTTTTACTGTTAGTCTTTTGAGATTCCTCGCCTTGAGCCCTTTCCTGAAAGATGCTCGAAGTTGTACCGAAACAGCAGTATCAAAACTTATCAAGGTCAACTTTGCAAATAGCTAAGGTTTTTAGAACTTTTTAAAGTTTGCCGTTTTTGCTCTGACAGGTTCTCTCATGCTGCCAAGAAACAACTGTTGCGTCGTCCAGATTGGTTTGGTTGGTAGCTTACTATGTTGAAATATAATAGCACAATACGTCTGACTATACGAAATACTTCCTTTTTTTGATAGAACTGTACAATTCTTTTCAATTTTTTCGTTCTATACAGGTGGTTCAAATCGTAAAGCATCCTGATTTCGGCTACACCGGACATAGGAATGATATCGCTTTACTAAAGGTTTGCCATGTTTTGAATAAAGGCTATCTTCTAGGTCTCGCGTTAAATTCCTTGCGGTTTGGTTTTATATAGATATATATGCAGCTTAAATAAACTCCGACATAATAATTAATTGAAATTATAATTCAATTATTTGTTCGCACTGAAGCCGTATGAATGGATATGGTTACAATTATTGCAGGGGGTGATCATCTAATACAAAACCGGGAAAGAATTATTAAATTTTATTAAGCTATATTATGAGCCAAAATTAAAGTCATATTCTCAAACATACTCAGCTGACGACCACTCTGCTGAAGATTATATATAAAATATAATAATTAAGAAAATACTCATTAATGATTAAACTAGTCATGTAACAAGAAGACATAGATCATATATAGCAAGTGTTCAAGATATCCAAGTCCTGTCAAGATATCCAAAGAAAAAATTCGATACAACTCAGGATTAACGTATGCTGCCGAATGAATTACACTGACTCTGTTTTCAAAGACTGCATCGTGGGCCTGACAGGCTGATAAATCTATAATAATAACCATAGCTACTGCATTGATAGGGATACACCGCCACTTATTATTCAACTAGTACAATAAACACTCTTACTATCTACTGAATCGATGTTCGAAATACTCCCATTGTGCAGTGGCCTGCCGATACGGACAGAAAGCACAGAAACAATGAATTTAGCTATGTCGGTACTCGAATGCATGGAGAATTCGGACAGCCTCGCGAGAGTTGTCCTTCGTTAGCGCGTACGATGAAAGATGTATCTTTCGGTGTAATCAAATGCTGCCGATTGCAGGTAGCATGACAACTATCTATGCATGCGGTGCAGGCACAATTTCTTTAACGAAATGTGCAGTGGAACATTTAGCAGTCAATTTAATAAGGCTACCAAGCGTGCAGATATACAAATATAGCGATGAAAGTGACCGCACGACTGGCTTCTGCACGGCGGGTTAGGTAGGCCTCCTCCCTGTGTTACTGGATGATTGCTACTGTCCCCGTAATTGCTTGCTCGTGGTCTAGACCTGAATCCTGACATAGACACACTTTGTTTCATGCTGGAAGCCAGTCATTTGATAGAGTGCTTAATGGCGATGCTAGGCGTGAAACCTAGAAAGGTCGATTTGTGCTCAGCGGAGTAGAGCGATTTGAAGGTGGATGATCTTCAGTTTGCATTCGTAGCGGCAAGGGAGCGGCGAATTCTTGTTGACATTTTTCTTGTTGGTCTAGGTAAGCAAGTAGGTGAAATATTAGGAGTCGCCCGTGTTGTTTCGGATGTCTTAGCGGCTAGAGCGAGATTGATATCAACGTGTGCTGATGCGAAGTTGAGTACTGTTTTGTCAGCGTATATTTTTGATTCTCAGCTCCGAACGAGCTTCGCGTCAAACACATCAACAACGACCGATGTGTTTCGTGTCCTATTAAATGCAGAAGATTTCACAACTTGCGGCTCTTGTCTTTCTTTTGGAATGCCAGAGTTGAACGAAATTCCTGTACGCGGAGTAATATCACTATTTGTTCACCGTCCCCCACGTAAAGTGAAAGTGTAGTGGATAAAGCATTTGCCTATTAATCTTCGGGTTCAATCCGGGCATAGACAAATTTCGTTTTGTGCTGGTAGTCAGTCGTCTGATGGAATGCCTAACGGCGATGTTAAACGTAAAATTCGAAACATAGAAATGTCACGATTTGAAGAATACTCCATGTTTTCATAAATAGATGACTTTAGACTGTTGGCCGGCAACGTCTTGCTCCGCCGCCTTTTCCTGCACGTCATTTGTTACAAAAACATTCATCTCGGCAAAACATTCAGATTTCTCGGACTCATGTTTTAGAGTTAGTTACAGCATACTGACATATATAAGTAATAAATTCGGAACTACGAATTCTTGCACGACGTAGATATCAAAATGTAATTGTTCTTTTAACAGTAGATCCTCTATACTTCGTATCAATTTTCACAATGTGGTAGTACAGTTATCGTTACAGCGCCCATATTTCTTATCGCATCGAGTATATACGTTTGACACTTTGTATATTGAATTATCAAAACCGTGAGGTGTCACTACGGGGGTCATCTAGGAAGGAACCCATGGTATAACAGGGTTTACTGCAGCCCTTCAAGCATGCCCTTCAGACAAGGTTACATAGTAAAGTGTTGCATGTACCCTAATGTGAAGCACCACGTGCGATGTTTCTTTCCTTCAGTTGTTGGCTACGCAGTCTTAATTTATTTAAATGGGTTGAGTTGTTAAACTAGCCTATAAAATGGCATAGTAATAGTATGCTGTAGTAGCCATTTGCCGACGCTAAAACTTGAACCAGCAAAGGCCTAAAGGAAAGGCGAACATATCGTCACTTAATCATTGCTGCTATCCATCGTCATCATATTGTTAAATGGTTTCTTTCGATTGGTGACATGAACAGCAACCCTCTAAGTAAACATAAATCTAACAAAAGAATACTATTGATCAGGAGAACAAGTTGTGCAAAAAATTTCCGCAAAAGCTATTTTACTGACTTCTATAACTCGGACCCGGTTCTTTATCATGCGCCATGTTTCCTCTAGTAACAGTGAAAATCACCGTTATCATACTGACGGATCTCAAGTACTTAGTTTGAATTATATGCATGACGACAATTTTTGATTATTGCTGCAACAATAATTAACTCTACACTAATTAACGAAAAAGCTTTCAGCAGTGAATTGTAGAACACATTGAGATTTGTACGACAATGCTTGTGGCTGTTATCGTAATGCTGTTCATCGATAAGTCGTGGATACGGTGGCGCTGTATTTTTAAATGTCACCTTAAATGACGAAAAAAAGCGCGATTACCGTTGCTTTTTTTCTGCTGTAGCTAGAGAAACTTGAATTCGGATAAAGGAATAGATATAGGGACATGTATAGCATATTATTCGAGTGGAACCAAGATCGACCCCTCTTACATAGGATCACTTATTAGAACCACCATTAGAAAAAATTATAGTGTATGGTTAGGAAAACAGAGTGGGAAAAACTGAGAAGATTGAAAGATGGACCATCCCAGCCCCTACACGTTTACCACACATACCGCCAAGAAATAACAATAAAAAATACCCTTAAAAAGGTGAAAAGTCGAAAATGTATCCCACAAATGTCAACAGAGCTAGTAAAGCTTTAATAGGCAGAAAAATAGCTGAACAAATCGTTATTAAGAATATTTTGATCTGGGAGAAGGAATCGGTATGACAGTTGGTATTTTAACTAAGCTGAAAATAACATCTTGTGAATTTTGCATATGATGAATTACTGTCTTGACTTTCAGGTGCAGCATCCATTTAATTTCACGGGTTCCGGAGGATATATAGGTAGCATATGTCTTCCTCGGAAAGGCGAGAATGTTGTAGGCAACGTAACAGTATCTGGATGGGGTGAGAGTTTGTTCTATTAATTCTTTTCATACGTAAAGAAAATTACAAATTATGAAATGATACCACATATGTGCTTTCAATGATTATCAAAAATGTCAATTAGAAAAGCCTTTTGGTTTGTATTTACTAATCCCCTCTATCAATTTATTCCATGATTGCGATTAAGCGTTATATTTTTTTGTCTAGATTGCAAAATTTTATCTCGAGTTTGCTGGTTGAAAGGAATTTATTTGAAATGCGTCAGTTTCAATATTTCGCAAAGAGAGCGTGAGAGTATAAGAAAGCACATTAAACTCATCAAGAACAGAAACAGAACTTTAAAATTTAATCTTCAAAATATTGATGAAATTAATTATAACGAATCTTAAATAGTAACTGAAACATGAAAAACTATTAATTCAAAATTAAAGGTGAAAAATAATAAAATGCTTGAAACATTGAAATAAATTAGGAAACGAATATCAATTTAGGTAATTTTCTTAATGATTTAATATCTTTTCATTCATGCAACATTAAAGTAAGGTGGTTTTATGGATGATATTTAAAGCTATATTATGTTCAACTCAAACTTTTCAATGCTAGTGCCTTCTATCGTTGTGATTGTTAGCGACCATGGCGACAAGAATTTAGGTGACTTCGTGTGCCCCTTTCATCCGAAAAGCGAGCATTTATTGAATTTCCTTTAGGTGGTCTTTGTTTTTTTATGATTCTATAGTATTTTTCTGGGCAGTAACCGCGTAGAGGTCAATAGAATCCGCCACTGAAACGAGTAGCTTTCTCCCTTAGCTAATCACTAGCTATTAACGTCTGCTTAGTGCGCCAAAGGCTGCTTTCTGCGCTGTTTCTCCACTTGTGGAGTTCCGGTTAGGCCCTCGTAAAACGTTGGTCCCAGTGCCCAAATGATTTTGTTGATTGTAGTAAGTGTCTTTCCAAATTTATTTCAAGGTATGCACATTTCTTTGTGGTGCTAAACAGTATACTCTATTTCTTCCGGAATAACTTCAACACTGCTTTGAGATTCTATAGGAATAGGTATGCAAAAAGCGTCGACAGGTTTACTGTTAAATACTTGGATAGTTCACTGAGTGCAGAAAGGTACAACTGTATAATATGAACCTATGAACTCAAAAATCAAAATTTTTAAATTGGTGCCTAACAATTGTACTACAGCACATAACGTCGTATGGGATTTAAGGGAATTCCAACACGGCAGTCTTGTCTAGATGCGTGTACCAACTATTAAAGGAAAACCTATTGTCACACATGAAGTCCACGTTACTGCAAGGCTTGTAATTATGTGGCGGTTCATTAGTAGTGGGCCTAGTATTATGGAGGTTATTATCGATTTCCGTTTTTCTCACCCACGTGTTGATGATCTTGGAACAGCTAGGAGTGATGGAAACCTTGGATCTGCGCCTTAAGTTCTCTGCGAATGGTAGTATATCGCCTACAAGATATACGTATTTCTGCAACGAACGATGCAGGCCCATTAAAAGCAAACGTCTAACTCGATCAATTATTTAGAGTTCACAACTCAGATTCGGTAGGAAACAATTGGAATCACCTTTATTTCTAACAAGACCATGCGCACGGCAAGCCTTGGGGGCGTACGGTTCCCACGCTTGCAATCGTCCCTCAGCATACTCTGTACTTGATCTGCACTTCAGAAGTCCGGCAACGGGCCAAGATCAAACTCAGTTACGTGAAAACTGTTTACGCACTTCAAGGTCGTTCCGCTTGTATGGAACGTGTTATGAACAGCACGACGGCCATAGAGTTGACCATAGATCTCTAACGTGCCAAATTCCTAATCCATAGCACGTGCCTCCGCTACCTTGATTGTTACGTAACAGAAAGGACACACATCTAGAGTATTTTATGACTGTCTAGAACGCCAAAAAGTTAGAAGGGGCATATATCTTCGTGTTATAATTTGGATCATCGTTTTAATTAATTATAGTACCTTGCATAGGTAAGGAAATTAATTTAACCTACACTTTCTTGCCGAAAACGATAAGATACTATCAAAGAACATTTTTGGTTTAGGAAAGACTGCGGAATCAGCATTCAGCGGGGCACTAAGTTTGCAAACAGTTCAAGTACCTGTAATGAGTGACCTCAACTGTCAGTACCGTTATTTCTCCTTCTGGAATCTAATTCTCGGCTCGAAAGTGGATTCGTCGTCAATGTTTTGTGCCGGATTAGTCGAAGGAGGGAAAGATTCCTGTCAGGTAAGCAAATATTTGTGTAATTTTTTTGTACAATGTATGCCGTTTTTATTACATAGTATCAGGTTTAAATCTTATTTGTAGCTTGTAGAGTCACACCTTAAGATCAAGAAGTTTATTAGTTCATCAATTCAGCGTAAGTTTGCTGATATTACGGTGAGGCATGGCCAGATCGATAAACTAGTGTTTATTAATTTGTAATTATGACGTATATATAGCAGGAATGTTATAAAAAGATATAGAGTAAGACCTAGCCTATGCTATAAGGTCTATGCTACTTTCTATATGTACGAATGATATCGTTAACGTTTATAATTTCTCGAACATGCTTTTGTATACAGATGCCTGTTAACTGCTTATCGTACAAAATTTTTTCGGGTTAGTTCAAATTGTAAATCAATGTTTTATAATTTTTTGTTTGTTTCTGTTAAGCCATCTCTCGATTAATTTATCAAAGTCAGCATTTTATGCTCCACAAATAACTCATTGTATTTTAAACGGTTAATATGGTTTAATGGTTAAACAAGATCGCTAATTGTAGTAGTTCATCTTTTATAGTGAAACCTAATAATTCTGAGAACTGAAGACTTTATAATAACGATTTTATGTTATAATAAGGTTTAGTAATTTTTGAAGCGGCAGCTATATAGGACACCTAATAGTAGTCTATCGATACTTTAGCTGATGTCTTCGCAAAGCGCTCCCCTATCATAGGCTTGCGGTCGCTGTGTTGCTGCTAAGCTCTCTTTTTGAATGAAACGACATGTATTGAAATAGACAGGTTTTTCTTTCTCGTTGGTCGGCAGCATCGAGTACTTTCCTACTACTTGCTTTGCTTTTATATAGCTACATACGTTTATTTATCCATGACATCATCCCGACTTGCCACTCAGAAACTGGCCTAACGTTTCGCCAGTCCCCTAGAACAGCGAAAGAATTGCTCTAATAAGCCGCCTTCCGGAGAAAGAAGGCATTCTTATAGCTTTAAGGCTTCTTTATGACTTTCCCGTTTGAGTGAAAACCAAATCAGTCCCGCATAGCTTTTTTATAATGTCTCGTGTTATATGTGTTATAGTGTCGACATGTACAGCTCAAGACTTGGTTTGATGGCCATTTCCGCGTCTATGGTAACTCTTCGTACTTTTTCTAATAACTTCTATGGCTAACGAACTTTTGGTAGCTAGTAATACTAATATGTTAGATGTTCGCACACAAGAGTCATATGGTGACTGATTGATTTATGGATAACTAACAGAGAACCGCGTGATATACCCCTTAAATGGGGCTCTATGGACAGTGCGTTCAGAAACCATTCAACAAGATAACTGCTTCTCGTAACATATTTCTGCTGCACTGTTACAATAAAGGATATCACATGATGTGTGTACAATACGATAATAACAATAATAATTAATAATAAGTCAAAAAAGACTACTTTCTTATTTGCAATGCAACCGGCGACGCCGAGGTATAGACCAACGTTATTAGTTAACGTTCCAACTTTGTTCATTCTTTCACGCCACCTGCTTTCAGTAGACATATACCGAATCTGTGACTGCACAATAATGCATGTTCTATAGGAATTGAAACTCACTGCACTTATACATAGTAAACCTGCACCTGATGAAAGGCATTTTCTAACCCTTTAAAAGCCTACACACGAGAGACCGCGTTGGCATTACTTCAGTGTAAGCTACTTTATCTAAACTTCTTTTCAGAGTTATTTTACAAAATCTGTGAGATTCTTTTCGGTTATATTACCTTCTAAATATGCCATATTTTTCTTGCACTTTTTTTTCAGACTCTATAATTTGCTCAATAATGATTTTTGTGTTTAGTAGAGAGTTACGCACATTCCTCTGGGTCCCCGCCTGCAGCAACGTCTTAATGGTGGATGCCATATCATCTGTTTCCCCTGAGCCACATAATAACCACAGATGTCAACAAAAAGTTTCTCTTCGATCCATGTACGTTTCAAGTTGCCCATGTCTAGATAGCAACTGGGTTAGGTGTCTATCATACCACTCCTGTGGTTCCGGGATTAGTGCTTTTGTCCATTCAGTTCGCATTTATTCCTTGTAGACAGGAATAAGGCTTGCTCCATTAGTTTAGAGCAGAATTCCTTTCCAGTGTAAGGTCCTGCCTTCATCCAATGCTCCACCTGCTCCTTTTCTGCCAAAAAGGTCTCATGATGTCCTCGTTGCAATCACCAGTGCCGTTTCCGCCGATATCGTACTGTAAGTTCTAGCTACCTAAATGGTAACGGCTCTTTGATCCAATAGTAGGGTATTTCTGTTCATCTTCAACATCAGCGTTGCTACTGTTACCAGTAGTCGTCTAGCGTGTTCCTTAGCCTCGCTACTGTCGATAGGATCCTTGCAAGTTGGCTGGGGGCTTTTATGGTGTCGCCTGCATTATATGCGTTGAGTTCGTAAGTTCTATGTCCATGATTACATGCAGGTATTTTGCTCTTTTTCCTTTAAGGATGTGGTCCCTTCTGGAGGTAAGGATGTTTCCTCCTGGCTTTTTTCCTCTTTTTCGGAAAAAGCGCCTCACTACGGCGCTACTTGCAGGAAGGGCTCCGTCATCCCTAACTCAGCCTAGGTGGAAGCTTTATCATACGCTTTCCGCGCAGTTTGTTAGTCTTAATGTGGCTTCTGTGACCTTCCCCTGGTTGGCTGCTCTTCATTCGTGCTCTTTGACCGGTGATAATATGGCTGGTGTGCGCTTATAATTTTTTTTGTATTGGTAGAAAGCCATAGTTCTCCTCCGCGATCCACCGCTTTAATGGTTTCATATTCATACCTCCTTTGTTAAGCCCGGCCTTTTTCGCTACTCGTTTAGCAATTTTAGCAACGCTTTTAGTCTTCCTGCGCGATTGATTATGGTGGCAAGGGCTTATCATATATATTACAAGCCGGTTCGAACAGAGATCTTTGAACTGTTTTGCCATATATCTTGAGTTTATGTGAATTTAGCCCATTCTTTCAGACCTTTTAAAACAAGCACTTTTTTTTTCCTATTTAGCTTGTTACTGCATTGTTCCCACAATTGTGTAGCTGAAAACAATCATTATAAGAATTTATACTGACTAGATGGTTTGCATCTTCCCATTAGATTTCTTGGAATATCATTTGCCATGGCCTCTATGAGATGGTTGGTTACTTCATTTTATCAGTTGGACAAACCGTACCGTGAATTGCCTGGTTTTTTTAGATCATCTTTAATTCTTCGTTAACGACGCAACACGTAACACCACGCAAGAACTTCCATCTGAGCTTGATGAAATTACTACTGCTAAATACTGGTAGACCACGATTAGTTCGTCGTGTCTATTCCAGTACAAGTTTCTAGTGAAACATTCTTTCAGTAGTTGGCCAACCGTACTGAATGACACTGGACAATTTTTTCATTGTTAGGGTCCAATCTTTATTTTTACGCTATTTTATGAGATTTACTCTGATCCTTTATAGATATATATCCTCTTTTGAAGTATCTTCCTTTCAGGAATGTGGACTTATTAAGTCAACAATAAAATTTTCTAAATATATATTTTACAGTTATACTATACCTCATAAGTTTAAGGCGTAACCGTTAAAGTGATTTCAGTTTACAGCCACACTTTTTAAAAGTATGATTTCCAGTGGTTTGTGGTCAACGTGGATTGTTACATGATTCATTGCGTCGATGTAAGGCGCAAACTTCTTGAAAGTAATGAGTATTGTTAGACACTCTTTTTAATAACCACGTAGTTTTTTTTAACCGCACCTAACGACTAAAACGTGTAGCCTATTGACCTTCTGCCATATTTGTATTCCTCTTCTTATTTTGCTCAATTATTATTTTTATACTTTTTACCTTTCGTAATACTCGTATCGATTATGATATAAGGCATGTAAATTTGCTCGCTTTTTGGAATTTGTTCGTTCTGACAGACATCGTGATCATGGATGATCGTACATTTTCAGCACCGAGTAATCCTTGAAGTTTAATTAAAAAGCTTCATTGAACCAATGGAGGTTTTGAAAACTTTGCCGGCTCATGACATTGAACAAAATTCCGTGTCAAGCAATACCCAACTACTTCTATTCACTTCCGGCAAGCAGCATAACATACAATTTTCGCTTTAACTTCTTACCTAGTGCTGCAGCCTAGGAAGTCTCGTAAGATTCTAATCCGAAACAGGGTCCTTGATTCGTACTAGTCTGATGTTGTATACAGGCGTGTAATGATTGTTTTTTACTCTCACTGCTATGGCTAGGCAGCTTTACAAAAGGTGTGAATGCCTACAATTTCAAAATGGTTTACTCTTTTGCGGTTTGTTTCGTATTTCTCGGCCTTTTGTGCAGCATATATACCGAACCTATTAATATATCTCCCAATGCCCGCTTTTTATAGATATTATGCCAAATGACAGCCATACACATTACCCTGGATGAAATAGCCCTAATTCCTGAAAATAGACAGCTCGGATCTAAATTAGAATCAATAAGTCGTTGTTTCAGCAGTCACATGTCAGTGCAAATATGATGGCATAGTAACTTGGTACTAAGATATGCAGTTGTTTCTTCTTGTAATCATGACTGTGTACGTAACTAAGAGGTTTCTGTTCCCAAAGATGCTCTTATTAGTATTTTCATAATCCATATGTTACCGTAATTGTAAGAACCACGAACCCGCTATGCAGCGCACCGTTAAGCAGCTTTGTAGCCAATGAAACGGACTTCTATACGACACTTTATGCTAGTCGCATAATTGTCATATGCACATAGTGCTTAGAATTATAACCCGCTTTGCTAAAAGGTACACTAGGCTACTTGGCTAAAAGCTACAAAATGCACAACACTTGCATCTTTTTTTGCAGAACAGACCTGCTGATATTCTGCTGAACAAAATATTTAGGAACCTTGATAAGTTTTTTGCAAATCAGTACTGCGGACAGTTTATTATAATGGAGGAACGATGTAATGATGTAAAAAGTAGTGTAAATAGAATAGTGATTGGTTCATATGAAAGTTAAATTTTTCAGCTCAAATTTAGGTTAATATGCTTCTGGGCTCTTTGCCGTAGTGGTGCGGAATTTTTCGTCATGAGCCTATTGGGCCTTTCTTTAATCAATCCAACTTGAAGTCCTGCAAAAACTAATATAACAATAAATTCAGTAGTAGAAGAAGAAAACCGTAGAAGACAGTGGCCACGGATCATTCGGCTCTCTTTTTTCAGTGCAATGGTTTTCGCACTTTGCAATTCAAACAAATCCATAATTCGGCGCAACTCAGATCATAACAAATTTTACATTGACGATCACAAGTACTAGTCGTCCGTTTTCTTTTCAAGCCATATTGATATCTTAACAGTACATCTTAAACGGTACGTTGGTACAGGCGATCAACAAAATTTTATGAACGCTAGGAAATATGACATAATGTAATAAAATTGGTATTGTGATGAAGATGGAACGGCGTGAACAGTATCAGAGCAGCGATCAAAAGTAACTCATTAGAATAAAAATCACTTATGCTCCGTTTAATAATTGGCCTTATTAGTACTTAAACTAAATTACGTTGATAACAACAAATATTGTTAACTCTTCTTTAAGTTGGAAGATTTAAGTTAGTAACTAATTTCTGCTGCCTCTTATTGATTTACTGATAAAAGTATGTGTTAATCGCTTCTAGTTTCATAAAAATGCCATATTTTTTAACCATATCTGCCCTTTTAATTTTTGATTGGTCATATCGTTACGGCTCTTTTTGCCTTTCCTAAATCTACGAAGGATTGATGTTTCTTTAAGCTCCGGTGGAAAATTAGATATACTGGCATAACTGGAACAAGCTACTAAGCTAAAAACGAGACTTTGTTCATACGTGCATATACTTATTTTTAATTAAAACAGTTTTTTTTCACAACCGGATACATTCGGAAGTACTATCTTTCCAAAAAGGGTTGAATTGATTTGTACGTTTGGCTGTAAATGAGTCCCAGCATGCTGTCATTCTTTAGGAAACGTTTTCTCTAAATTTCTTTATCGAGTTTTTCACACCTTGAAATCTTTATGTGTTTTGAAACACCTATAACAAACATCTGATTTCGGCACTGTAAATAATTTTACGCACAAGTAATAAGTTCTAAGCACCTAAGCCTGAGAACTTGTAAGCTCATGGAGATTCTCATACTAGCTAGAGATTGTTTAGAAGTGCTTATCTAAACGGAATGTTATCTTGCGTTGAAACCAAGATAAAGGGACGATATTAGGTAGGGAAACAATGCTTGGGCCTCTTTGCTTAACGTTTTATTGAGAATTTTTGTTCTCCTACAGTGTGAATTTTTTGCAATTCATTTAAAAGACCCATTGTAATTTTTCTTAAGCATCCTAAATGCCTTGTGGACTATGCGTAAGCTTCATTCCTCTAAATAGATCCTAAATTTCTTAGTAAGATCCACTGCAAAAGAGTACTATTGGTGGTAGAATGGCAAGTATTAAGAATGTCATGCTGTTTTCAGGGAATTAGTGTTTCTCAAACATGCATATCACTGTGGTATGTACGTAAATTTGACCAATCTGTCTAACTTTGCAGGGCGATTCGGGCGGCCCAGCTGTGCAGTTCGAAAATCAAAGGGCAGTGCTTAAAGGCATTATCTCTTGGGGAACGGGATGTGCTCGACCAAGAAAGCCGGGCGTTTACACCGAGGTACCGTACTTTGTCGCCTGGATTGATGATGTTATAAATTCAAATTAATAAATTAAGTTTCCTGAAAACTATTGCTTTTTGAATACTAGAAACAGCGAAAGGTTTTTGCCAGCTTTCTTTATATATTGCATAATAATTAAGTCGCGTCAAATGTGGTTTCAGTCCTTTATTTTTATCATAATATTTTAGCATTCTATCAACTGCAATAGTTTTTTATTGGATCCATCAAGTTTGATCAGTTTAAGAAAGATTTTAATATATTTCAATTTTTAATGTTCGTTTTGCTTTTTCCTCGAGTACGCTTTTCTGAAATGTCGAAATTGTCACTTTTAAAAATGATACACATGAAGTAGACGAGCACGCAGAGCAAAGAAACAAGGGAGAAGTAATTCAAATTTGCTTTTTGCTACCTTTATTTGTTTAACTATTACTTGAAGAATACAATTTTTTGAGTTATAGAAAGAGGAGAACAGACAGGTAAATGAAGCCGGTGAAATGATAATGATGAAGTGAAGCTAAAAAAAACCGATTAAGATTACTGAAAGTAAGGTTCTGCTTAAAAATTATCCGGTTTGTTGAAGTTCCAAGGGTCTCCTTATTTGATGTGGTAAACGGAGCTTCTGGACATTCGACATTTTTACAAAACGTAATCCAGTAAACCACAAAAACAGTGAGGTACGTAAAAATGCGCCTGAGCTTGCAATAAAAATTGAAGTAAAAGTACACTAAACAATCAAGAACCAATTATTTATACATTTACAAGTATAAATATCTTTAAAACGGCTATATACAAATCTATAATGAACGCCCCTTCGATTGTAGCGTTTAAAACATCTCCACCGACACGAACAAGCTAAAACAGTCGTGCTAACGATAGGAGATGCTAGAAAAAGATAAAACACTAATTATGTTTTATAAATTTTATGGGTTAGAAAAAAATACTTATTTAGAGGGTAGTTACAACGCCGGAAAGAAAACAAGTTAAATCAAGCAGTCTCGAGAGAAAACAGTGAACGTCAGATGTTCAGCCTAGAAACAATTACACTCGTGATACGCAGACTTTCCAAGCTTGTCTTTACAGTTGTTCAATACCTTCTGTGTTGTAATTTATGGGTTGTTTTCTTTGGCTTTGACGGACACCTTGAAATTAATCTCTCCACGGAAAATCTGTTCACGCTTTACTTAAAAATAATTAATTCAATTTAGTTTTACAAAATGTTTCATTTGATTTGATAAGTGGTTTTTCTAGGAATCTGCAAGCGCCAAAAGCAGGGAGGTATATAAGTATGTACCCAAAACTGCTTCGCCTATCGCAAAAGACTGGTTTCCGGCAAAGTCACCCTAAACAATTAAGAAGATGGCGTACCATTTCCTAAAATTTAAAGAAGCAATCCTTGCTTTTCAAGATTGTACTCCTAAGGTTAGATAAGTGATAATAACCAGCAAAATGTTTGGGCAGACTTGTTGCGGGCTTCCCAAGCTCAGCAAGGTTATTATATTTGGCAACCCTCCCAAGTAAACTTGTAAACCTCCTACGTCCTTTTTTTCTACAATAATGTTCTGCGTTTTCAGTTTCTATTCTTTCACATTACTAGATGCCTTGGCGCTCCTCATTTAAACTTTTTAAAGGTAGTTCTCAGCCGTGCCTTTTAGAACATATTAATACAAGCTTAATACAGGCACTCTGGAAAAATCGACCAACGGTTTGAACCTTTTGAAAGATAAACTGTTTCGCCGCAGAGCGCAAAAAGGGGGTAAACACTCTTCAGAAACAACAGCTTGTGTATGCAAAATCTTTTAGCATAAAACATATATGCCAGCATGTACAGCTTCTTCTCAAACGCGGCTGTCACAAATCGAATGTTGTGGTCAATTAGTGACACAGTGGACCCTATCTTGGTCGGTTTTATTGCGCTATCGATCGCTTTCCCAGAAACCCCACTTGTCTTTGGAGAGATGACGATTTTTTCAATTCAGTTTTAGAATCCAATTTCTCAGCATTAATATTAACTGTTCCACTAGGTTCCGTTTCGGACTAAAAAACAAACTGAGAAGGTGCTATTCATTCCTATTGTGTACTACGTACGCCCAGCGCAGGCGAGCTTCTTAATCGTTTTTAAACATTTTTCAGTATTTGTCTGCACTTCAACTTGTTATAACCTTACATAACTCTCACATCCACAAAGCACTTACATACTGTAAACTACTCTAGATAAGACATGTTCTTATTCAGTATAATGAATAAAACAATGACTTTGTCTGTCAACTCCATGATACAGTTTGCTTTACAGAGAATGGTTAAAAAAAAGGAACCTGAGCTTTCTGCGTAATCATAGTTCTTTTTTTCAAACAAGACACCTAGTTTATATACGATAGGCTGAAAAGAAACCTGTTGATCTTTTCATGCTTAATTCCTTGAACTGCAACTTCTAGCGCCAGCGAAGATAAAAGATGAAAGACAATTACGTGGATTTTATACTAAAAAGAAATGTTCATATAATTTTGTTCTCTTTAATTTAGCTGTCTTTTTCTTTACCTTTTTTGCATTCTTTCCAAATACAAGAAGTTAGGGCATGGTAAAAATGCATTTGAGATCTGTATATTGAATTGCTTTTTTCATATCAACAAACATCAAATTCCTTATCTTTCTTGGAAGGCGTCAAATACTGTTTGAAGTGCGTTTACATGTTAACTACAGTACTGACAAAAAACAACTCAGATTCTATTTTAGGATGGTGAGTAAGATCAATATATTTAAGTACTTGGTAAATCTGCTTTAATCGTTCCCGAAAGCCGCAAAATACTAGTTTTATAATGTAGCAGGGTGTAATCTCTTCACCATATAATGGTAACTGCTGTACCATTCAGATCTTTCTTCACGACCCAAATTGATGGGTGGTTACCTATTGCGCCATTTCACGTTTTTTTATAATTGTATCTTTTTTGCAATATTAAAAAAAAATAATAATAATATTCTTAAATATTCGACCGAAAGTTAAGTTCTTTTGAACCAGTGATTATGTGTTTCCCGTATAAGTATTTTTTGGATTCATAATTAAACACTCCCAAATCATGTAATTACAACCAAAGCCTAACACATAACAAGCATAATGTACATGAAACTGCCATAATCAAAATTTGGAAATTAAAATTAGAATCAAAACATACATTTCAATTTTCGTTTTTCAATACGTGTTTCTTTTTTAATGACGTATAAGGTTTCATTCGAACAACCTAGAAACGATAATCAAAATTATTATTATTATTATTATGAATACAGGGTTTATTTTGGAGATCGTCTGGACTTCGTGAGGTCTCTCTCCTTTATCTCGCTTTAAAAAGACTCTCAGAATATTTTAATAATCTTGGAATTTTAAATATAATTGCCTAAAGGATATTGACTGAAAAAAATTTATTTGTCAAACAGTAATTATATTACGATATTCTATAAAAAAAAAAAAACGGTTGGACCGATAGCAATACATCCTTGAGATAAGCGATAAAATTAAAAAAAAAAAACGTTTTTAAGGCACGAAAAACTATCCGTTGAATGTGGCGTGAACATATAGATTCTGTTCTTTTTTTTTTAGTACTAAATTATCTCATTCAAATTGCTCGGAAAATGCCAACGGAACTGATGAAAAATTTGGCAAGTTGATATCGGAGTCGTAATGCAAATATTAATTATTGAGATAAAATCTTGTCCGTGAAGTCTCGGTAGTGTATGGTAATAGGTCTATAATCATTAAAGTATTGGAAATCAAAAAGAAAGTACTTTAAGAATAACTGAATCGTTAACAGTGGACAACGTAAAGCCCCCTCGAGCATGGTGCGTCTTCACTATATCAATTCATGAGTGTCAGTTGGCTAGTGTAAAATTTTAGGCCAATGTTGAAAAGTGAAAAAAGTTTTTAAAATTCATAATTATACAGGTCAATAAGCGGTAGCCGCGGATTTTGTAAAACCGAAAAAGGAGCTGTAGATGCCCCTTTTGTTGCATTGTGAAACAAACGGCCTTATGCATGATCTCAACATCAAAGAAGCGTTTTGTTGTCTTTCTGTTGAAATTGAGTGAAATAAAGAAATACAATCGAATTAATTGTATATCTACACACCGTTCTTCTGAACGCCATAAAAAAAACTATGCCGTAAATTATGAAAGTACAATTAATGATTGTTGAAAAATGTGTATATTATACATATTTTGGTTAAGGAACAACATTATTCACGAATGCAGCTGGGTAAAAGATGAATTACAGTTTTGTGAGGTGTCATGTTGGGTATTTTCGCTAAATATATATGGAGCAAAAGTGTGTCGTAATAAATACAATTCTAGATTAAGACCGACCTAAACGCTTCAGACGTAACGCAAAAAACATGCACAGATAATAATATGATAATAGAGTACATAAATAATTGTTACCATTGTTTATCTTTTAACACGCCATTTTCAGGTGCAACTTATGGGCAAAGCTTCGCATAATTTACTATTTTTCAAAACTGTTAGTGTCGTATTGATCGATCCAGCTACATACTAACTAAACGTAACATACGTTGTATATGAACGCTAAAAGGAAAACAAGCTTAATTTTAGATAGATACATTTTTATTGTTATCGTTATTATAATAATTTCTATACTGTTTCATTCAACTTCAGTATCAGGCGCTGTGCGATATAGATATACTACTGTATCATCCGTAGTAATGTTACCATAATAATTACTATTAGTTGGTAGTAATAGTACCTCTATTCTAGTTTATTATTACACAAATGAATACTTATACGTGAAATCATGTTGATAACAGTACGCTGTTGTGTTTCTATTCTACTGAAGTGGGTAAGTAGTATTCGAGCCGCCGTCGATGCATCGTCCAGCCGCACCCGCTACCCTTGTCGCCATCATTCGAATAGTCGATTGTTGTGCCATGCACCTCTGTGCCATGCCTTCCACTTCTCATCGTTCTTATTTCCAGTTCAGCTCTGAAAAATTGATTAACTTCCATAATCTAACTGATCCATTGTGATAAATGATTTAGCGCCAGTAATGTGTGTTATAAAAAGAAATTATGAATCTATTCTTAAATGTTCATTGTTTTTAACGGGAACGGCATGACCGGTGAGGTGGCGACCGCGCCAAGCTGAGGCGGGACACGCTGGGTCGAGCGACCATCCGAGACGTGAGCAGTGCCTTGAATCAATCGTAGCGATATTGAGCAGTACCGAGTACCGGTATTTTTCCCGTATGCGCGCACCTAATACGTTTGCGTGCTAGTACAAAAGTGACACTGCAGATCATTGTATGCCATAGGTATACACCATATACGCAGCCAGTTATTTAATAACAAGCCTGTTACAAAAAGGACGATCTCTGAGCACAGGCCGAGCTTGGAGCAAAGAAAATACAGCTTTGAAATTTTTTACTGCTTGCAGTAATTGGACAATAACAAAAAGGTAATTTGATAAAATGAAATTGACGGCTAAGATAAAAATAATCAATATCAGTATGCGTGTCCGAAATTACTTTGTATAGAAAGCGTTTTAGCACTGTTCATGACTAGCTTGATTTTCGTTTACCTTTTTTAGATGCTTTAATTTCCAGTTAATCTAATTTCTACAAACACTCCGTTCCTGAGCACCAACGAAATCGAAACATAGAAAAAATTATCGCCCAGCATATTATTTTTCTTGAATAGCGTCTGCTAAATATGGCGATATTAATTTGATGTGAATGAAATCTCGCGTATACGTTAGAACTGTTTGCGCTAAACTGAGTTTTATAAATATTCACATAGTACGCGCACTTTGTCGCCACTGAAATTTTAACCGTAATACAATAGGGTCCCGCGACGTAGTACAATTTAGACATGTTGAATCAAATTGCTGCTCTATATACTACATGGGTTCAAATATCACGTTGAAATCGGCTTTAAGCCTCGCTGTGTCCTGTTTGTTAACTTGAAATTATTACATAACAACATGTTCATTAGGTAAAGCCAACTTGCTTTAAAAGCAGTAGACTTCTCTAGAAGAGCGAATGCATCCCTAGGAGTGTCGAATCAAGCTGTCTCACATCACAGCGATAGCCACGATGCAATGAGTCCAGTTCCCATCAGTTTTCTTCTTCGATCATTAACTTTCATTGACCGCTATTAGCTATTTTGGTATTATCACATATAATATTTAAATATAAAAGCTTGCATTTTAATAAAGGTGACTGCGGTGTTTCTTTTCTTTTTCTGCTTCTATTAATTCATTAGCTGTATCAGCTGAACCAATTTCCCACAATGAATAGCGTGGTGTCTTAGAGTGTGAGGGTTTACGTTTCCTGGTTGGGCGCCCAATCATTGATCTTACACATAGTCGAGCTTTGTGGTGCTCTTTGTGTACATATTCCCTTGTAGTTGTATTTAGTAAATAATAACAATAATTATCAGCCTGGCAGGCATGCTTATTACCTTTCCAATCTCTGCTACTGCTTCGTTTCTACAAGGTGCAGTTGCTACTGGAAAGGCTGTATTAACACGAGCACACGAATCTATCGTTCTTTCCTTTTTCATAGTCTTCCATAACAGATATCTACATTTCTACGTCTTCACCTTCAAAATATACTTCTTTATGTACAACCACTGCAAGCCTGGGGCATAAAATAGGTGAATTCAGGAGGGACTGATTTGACCTTGCCCATACGTACGGGTGAAGGCGGATGAAGTGTGGAGCCCACTGGTAAACTGGAACTAGTGCCCCGGAATTGCCGAGCTGCCAAGTTGCACACCATAGCCGCTGAAAAAAGAGGGAGAGAAAAGGGGCACCTGCGTTGACCACGAATCTATATATCTATCTATGCCTCTTGCCTGCCTAACTGCTGAGCTCTTCTTCTGAGTGTAGATTATTACTTGAAGAGTATATCCAGGCGCAGTGGAGTTGAGCTGCCAATGGTAACGGTGTCCACAGAGTTGAAGTGATATAGCGCCCTTAAGAGCGGGAAACCACTTTGCTGTAGGTACAAATGTACAAAATGCGTTTCCAGGAGAGCCCTCGATTAAGCACCGCCTCTTAAGACAAGGTGTGACTTCTCCGGACATTAGCACAGTACAGTAGCAGCTGTACTTATTGCGAACAAGCAAGCGGATCCAGTCTCTTTCGATGCAACTTGAGACGCTACGTTTAGGCCTTCGGTCCGTTCGTCACCAAGTGACATTCTCTAGCAAGGTTCTTCTTAACGATAATGATGCCGTCGTTATGGGAGCTTCTGGCACCGATTTACTAATAGTTTAGGGCCGACAATCCCTATGGCTTGGATATTATAAGCAATTTGTTAACTCATATACTACTGTATGCTATTTAACACTTACAATTATGACCGTGTAGTTTGTTCCAGTATTTACAACAGAGCACTGCCCTTCCAGAAGATGTAAACTGGAGCGGAAGAGCTATCGCACGGTCCAGGTAATGTTGTAGTTCAGAGACATCACGTCGCTGCTTGTCTGTGTGTCTACTGCTTCTACTATGTTTAGGTGGCCTTGTTTAATGTTTAAATATATCGCAGTAAGGGAAACTACTGTTGGCCTTGCGTGTTAGTGCTCCTCTGTTTCCCCTTGCTTATGCTTGCTGGCTTATTGTTGTTGATATTGTTTTCATTTTTCATACTATACTTATGTTGCTGTCAATGTTGTTGCAGTTGCTGCTGTTGATGATACCAATATTCTCGTTACTGTTGTTTCGCTTTAATTTATTATATTTATCGTGTTAGGCTGTTTATTCGTATATACTTAGTCTCCTTTTTCTTTATTGTAGTAATCATTATTCATGTTACTGACTATCTACAGATAAATTGACAAGCTCACATATAGCGTGAACTTGTCGGACAAGCTGCCATGGAGTTGCAAATGGCGACAGACCGCCGCTGGCGCTGCTACGGTCTCTGCCGCTTCGGATTTTACAGATAATCGTTAAAAGAGGTTAGGTGGTTGGACATAGCTCTCCAATGGACGCCCAGGAATACTGTCCATCAGCGGTCTACGTTTCGTCATGTGTCAAGCTGTTATATAACCACCATCGTCATTTCCTTCAATATATAATGCGTAGTGGTTTTGTTCGAACGAAATTCCTAATCAGTTTTATTATCTGAATCGTCCATTTGTCATAGAGGAGGGATCATTTTTATAAATTTTGTTAAAGCTACTTACAGTCGTCTTCATTTACATCACACATTTTATATGTTCGGTGTGCTTTCAATTTGAAAATGAACTTTCCATCTCAACAGCAAAGCGGTTAGCAACTAAATTTCTTCAAATGTTCAATCGCCTTCGGTCACTGCGGATGCAGACTGCCAAATAACTTCCCGTTTTACCTCCGAAAGGCGATGCAAGGAATTGAAAATAATAACTGTCCTAATAATAGTCATAACAGCTTTATCATCGATATAAATACCCGTAATTCATCACTGAGTCGTTTGGCATTCAATATTATCAGATAAACTAGCACAATAGATACCGTCCGTTTGATCGAGGTCCGACTAACCCGACAGTCATTGTCATCATTAGATTCATAATTATCACCATTGCTATGTAATATTGTGTTAGTCATTAATTACCTATTCTGCCTCTAGTATTTTGTTGTCATATGTCACTTCCTCATGGAGAACACCTCGATGACTTTCACGACTGCTGTTATAATTGCTACTTTTCATATCATCATGATCAAGCGTACCGTTAGAATAATTCCATTCATAAATATTCTTCATCGTTAATAATGGGGATCGCAATAAGGACTATAGCAATAGTCCTTAAAGCGCACGCGTTCTTAAATTTGTCAAGCGATCAATCGTTTATTACATTCGTTTGCACGCACTAGACAAACAGTCACACACTATCGCTTTCATTAAGAGTCGTCATTATTATTGGAGTTGGTTATAATAAGTAACAACCGCCATCATTAATAATAATAAGGGAAATGACGGGAGTTTAACATTATTAGTAGTGGTATTATTTGACGGCCAGCTTTGTTAGCCAGTATTGCCATCTTACTCTTCATTTAGAAAATAGCTGCAGAATAATCGGCTAAGGGAATACGGAGCATTAACCATCAACAATAAGCATCGGGCCCAGCTAAGTACATGGGTATGCCCGCTATTGCCTCGTAAAGCATTTGTTCCTTAATGGCACATCTAATGCCGTGGTGGTATTTAACAACGGGCGAATAATCTGTCACGTAGGAAAACACCCCGGCAGCAGGGTGTCGTCTATTGCCTCTATGATCAGCATTTTTTTTATTTCGAAAGGACCTTGGTACGTTGTAGTGAGTCTACGATTCAAAAGAGTGTGTCTTGAATGGAATATATAAACCCACTAACAGATTACACAATAAACAATATACTAGTTTTTGTGTTCAAAGCTGTGCTACTTGTGACACCTAGAATTGCAGCACTGCATAATAAACGGCTCTAGAAACGAAGTTTGTGTTCAACAGTTCGGATAATCATTGACAAACGTGAGGTAACAAATTACAAGGATGTCTTTCAAAATGGCTCTTTCGCTTTTACGAATAAAGTAAAAAAGAGTTTTTGGCGTTCCGCTAAATGTAGCGTTAGTGCTTTATGTTTCGTTCAGCAAGTATAAACATAATGTGATCTCCTGTCAGCTTAAAATGACCTAGAAATTACTTTGAAATGTTCTGGTTCACACACAGTCTAATATGCAGAAAAATCAAAGTGAACCCACTGAGCAGACAAATGTGCACAGCTAAAATATTAAATTCTGTACAGTTTGATATAGGCTAAAAATTATCTGTAGGCTCAGCGTCCTTTGAATGCGATGGACGATTAAATTATTATTGATTATTAGTCCTAATAACTATGGCTTTCACAAAAATCATCACTTATGTGTAGAGTAATCCGCAATAGATGTTTTTACGTGCTGATTTTACTCTGTTTTCTAATCTTGATAACCTATTTGCTCTGATAGCGTTTACAGAGGTGATTACAGGTGTTATCTGCTATTACTATTCTTTAAGGCGACTTTATTCCGTGAAAGTTCACAGATAAGAGTTAGGTATCTTTTGCCTAAGTTTGCTGTTGGTACTCGTAGATTTTAGTTTTTTTTATGTGCTATGCAATTTTTGTTTTGCAGCATTAGCTATATCAATAATATGCCGTAGTTAATGCGATGAGGAAACGCGACCAGAATGGTGCTATGAGGCAAAGCGTGGCAGGTAAAGTAACTTAAACTGGATGGAAATGTCACTGGTAATGCGTAACACTTAATCGTTTTCAAAAGTGCTGCATTTTTATTCATATATATCACGGTGAATCCTGTAGCTTGGCCGCCGAACTTTTGAGTCATGCGTTAGTTCCGTATCCCTCTGGTCGGAACTGCTGTCAACTCAATGAATGGCTTGTACTTATGACATGCTCTTCGTAATACTCCGTTCCGGTTGTTACCTAAATGTGATTATTTATTACTGAATATATATGCGCATGGCTAGCACGTGTCTTGCAATTCCTTTATTGATGTCTCTT